ATTTAAACAATAAGGTTACAATTTTAGATTAACATAGCATGGAACACTTGTTGGTTTAATGATGGATTGAGCCATTTTAAAAAGAAGTCAAAATTGAAGGCTGTTGTTTTGTTCTTAACAATATGTTTTTCTAGGAAGTCACGGATTTGTGATTTGCACTGTAACAATATATTTCCAAATGGTCTTAATATCACAAATGATGCTAAAATTTTAAGAAAAACAATTTTCTTGGGAGTTTTAAAAAGAAGTTGTGTTTTTTTCCCTTCAAATTTTAACAATATATTTGTCTTCATAGTSWACTTTACTGCATCAACCTTGGTGYTTAAYAAAATAAAACCWARCTTTCGMCCTACRCGGTCATCTTCAGGGTTACAATGAATCTTGTTACAACTAACAGAAAAACTTCASCAAAAAATAGAGCTTTTGACCTATGCGGTCATCTTATATATTTGTCTATCAGATGTGCAAGCAAGTGAATATTTTATTAATATTTGTACAAACCTTAAGTGCTTTCTTCTGTTGATCCTTAGCTCGCTGCTTTTCTTTGGCTGCTCTGTAGATAAACCATATTGTCAGTATGATGGTTTATTAATCAAATGAGCTACACATACRTTTTCTGAAATACAAAATCAAAGTGCATTTTGGTCTAGTACAAACAATGCCATATTTGGCAGCATGAACAAAAGATGWTGTACTGAACCTAGACCACAATGCAATGCAGCAATGCACACTGCTATCTCAAAAAAGGCCTATGAATGGTTGCTCTCTCAGTTACTTGTCAAATCATCACTGTTTTTGCTCAAACAATGTAGGTATAAAGAATCATCATTGAAAACAACCAACTAAACTAATCAACTTCATGGTTCAATCATTACTGATTTTCCTTTACCCAGGCCTCACCTCCCTGCTGGCAGAGGTAACCCATCTCCCAACAGTTGAAGGGAAAAACACCCTGCAGAAGTCGAGTAGTGGAGTTTCCTACATTAGCGACAGCAGTGCTTTTCAAAAATGAATCAATACACAACTTCTGCAGAGTCTACTGGTCATTTGGGAAATTCTGCCAGCTGCCATATTTTCACTTAGAGAGGAAATTTCTGCATCCACCAACAAAAATAAATGTATACATGTAAGTGTGGATTGTGACAACATATTTCTTGTCATAGGCAGAAATTTCTATTATCTCATCAGAAAAAGCATACCACATGCGAAAGGAAATGTAAGTTTCTAAAGTACCTAATTGCCTGTTCTCTTTGAGCTTTTCGCATCTCTGGCTTCTGATTTCTCTTTGCCAAAATATTCTCCATTGTAGCACCTTGAATTGACCTTTGAAACTTAACGTTACGGCGTGTTCTTTTCTTAGATATCTCCTCTTGTGTTCCCTTCTTGTGCTTACGTCTGTAAAGCACAGTCCAGGGGACTTTACGAGGGTTGCGACGCATCAAAAGAGCATTTGCAGACTTCTTGTTCAAGAAATTGAAGACCTGGAACAATTTGGAGATGTTACTAGCTACGTTTGTATGTATTTGATTAATACCTCTCGGAGTCAACATCAGTCAAAATTTCAGGGCTACTACAGAATCCAGGTCCAATTTTGAATATATCTGTCGAGCCGGCTCGTTGGCTCACCAGACAAATGAATGAATAACAAATATATATAGCATGTAATTGTATGAGGAAGTAGCTGATCCCATTAAAGAGTGCTCAATACACATAAAGTGTAGAGCTAGTTATATATATAGCATGTATATAAGTTACTTAGAGGCCCGGTGGCTTGCCAGCTTGGCAGTAGGACTTATAAAGAACGATAAATGTATGTTCATAATCAGATGTCTATAGCAGTATATACTTTACTGGCTTTTCGGCTCGGCTTTGGGACTTTTCAAGAATGAAGAATGAATTATTAATATCTGTAGCAGTACTTTAGTGGCTCGTTGGCTTGGAAGTGGGACTTATATAATACATTCATTTGAATGCCAAGCTAACGAGTCAGTGTATTGACAGATACATGTATCTTTAAAATTGTCCCTGGATTCTGTAGTCTAGCCAAAAGAAACCCAACCAGGAAGAAAATACATTCCAGTAAACACAGGGAGATCCAGCAAAAATCAAGTACTGAAACTATATCAAAACAATGCACTAACATACTGTAGAGAAAAACAAGAAATGAGTGTGTGCATTGTTTGATCTTGATTTTCAGTATGTCACAACTATGACAAATAATTAATTTTGAACAATCAACAATGCTTAAAATCACTGATATTAAAAATCAATTTTGAGACTATAGTTTTTCATTGTATGGCTAAAAATCACTCAATGCCAAATGCAATTAAGACTTACATGTWCATTGGTTTAAGAAGACCGGTGATGTGAACATACAACACATCACAACATTATCAGAAATAGGTAATGGCTGCTTTACTGATTTAGTTGCGTGCTTTTCGTTTCTACACTGTATAATTATATTTTCAAGACATACCTTTCCATCTAGACGGATATATCGTTTGCCGTGGCCAGGGTAGATTTTATACCCGCTGTAGTTGCACAGCTCTAGCCTGAAATTGAGCGAAAAACCAATTAATGCAACATATTCTTAAAAATTTACAACTTCTTCATTGTCTATAATAATCAACATTAAAATTAAAATTTAAAGCTTGAATGTACTCGGTCTTGAAATGCATTCAGGACATGTGAAATACGAACACATTCGGCGAGTGTTAATTTGCGAGTGCTTCAAGTAAAGGGGAAATTTATTGCTATTCTTCGATGGAATACACAAAATAAAACTACAATTGTTTAGAATAGATATTAAAGTGTATGTCTGGTGTGCGTTTAGTTCAGATGGGTCTTTCCTCTGTCGAGGATTGACAAGGATTTAAAGAAAACTTACTTCATCTTCAAAAGATGTTATTTCGGGTCGAAGAGGAAGACTTGAGGCGCGCATGCGCGTAAAAGATTTTCCACGCACGCATGCATTGTGGGTAAAATTCAACATGGCGGACGTGATGGAAGCTGCTAAGATTCTTTGCGAAMAAGATGCAAAAACAGAGCAGAACTGCTTTGGAGAACTTTTACCGTGCAGAAAAATATCGCCGCTTGAGCCGTTTATAAAGCTCAATGAGTATTTTATGCTTGAGAGAGACACTGGAAAGTGTAAGTACAAAATTACTTCTTTTATTGTATGACAGTTCGTACTCGATCTAAAAAAGACTGTCAATTTGAATTAAAATGATTAGTTCCTCTGTGATCTCCTACAAAAAAGGTCAAATGTCTTGGGGACCGATGTGTACCATAATCTTTTGTTTCCAATGGCAAATCCATTAGAAAGAACGGTGGCTACACGTATATTCTCAAGCAAAATATATWTTTTTTTTAAATGACATTTTCTAGGGCTACAGAAGTTTCTTTCAGATAAATAGTATACTGCTTTAGTTGTTTTTGAGAATTAGTTCCAAAGTCAGATTTAATTTTTTTGTTTTATTCATTTATTTCATAATTTCGATTTAGCCGAGTGATCAATTTGTAGCTGATGTGGTTTTGAAGAACAGTACTCGATCAATACACATAATTAGTGCAGMGCAAAAGATATCATATAGTRCAGTTGACCTTTTGCAACTTTTCAATGGTATTTCTTCAATATTGACAGAAATTGACAAATTTGTGGATYCAWCCTATAGGCACACTTCCTGAGGCTTTTTCACRACAGCATTAGAATTAACAGCAAGTTTGTTTCCTTAGATCTATTGTACATGGCTGCAATTGACAGGGCATTGTCAGATATCATACAGTCTAATATAGAAACTKTTAACTGTTTTGTACTGGGACCAGGTCTTGGGAGACTGGTGCGATTTTGTCTTGACTCAGCACTTCATCATGGGATCCCTGTGTGTGTTCATGTCATGGAAGCAAATCCTATCGCTGTGGAATTTTTAAAGAAGTCTTTTGAAAAGGAGATCGATGATGAGGTAATATGACACAGGAAGCCCGACCACTGTAACTTTTGAAGCCCTATCATTAAAGGCCTGTTTACAGCTGGCATATCTGATATAGCATGCCATGCCACCACTGTAGACTCATTCCATAAGCAACGTGCTTGACTGCAACTGTTGGTTGTTTACAATTTCTTTATTTATTGAGCTTGTACATCAAGAACAACCTGAAGCTTGAACACATCTGACAGGAAGACTTTTATTTAATATGGTATAAATCCAATCAAAAATCCAGTTTTCAAACTATTTTTGTTTTTAATATTAAAAACTTCATATCAAGAATGAATATTCAAATTGAATAAACAAATCAATATTACATGGAAGAATGAATTCATTTTTAAAATTATGTCTTATGTCGTCTGATGCTTCAGGTCGTTTGACTGTAAKTAATATTTTAGATGAAACATGAATTTGGATGTTTCTCTAAGTGTTATTTCACTTCCATTGGCATTATTTTCTGTTTCTCAAACCAATCAACATTTACAGAAAATTCTGCTATCCCAGAGTTTAACGTTTCTGGTGCTTTTGGCACAGGATTGACTAACTTATGGAATCAATATGCTGTAATGTTAATTAAAAACATTTTTTTCAGGTGGTTGTGTTGTATGAACCATTTGTGTTTCATCCTGAAGTAACAGCAAGTGATCTTCCTGCAGGATTACAGAAGTACTGTGAATGTTTTCATTTGATAGTTTCAGGTATACTCTTTGACTTCCATCCATGAATTCAATATGTTAAATGGTTATACTCCTATGCAAATTGCCAAATTGGTTAAATTTGATTAAACCTATGTAATCTATTTTATAACGGAAAAACATTTTTTC